TTTGATTATATAAAAAGTATTTTTTTAATAGTTTCGCTGCATCAAGTGCTTGTTTGATGCTTGGTGGAGGGACAGGATCGTCTTCTTCAACAACGTACACAGCTGCAGTTCTTATCTATTTCGGCAAATTAGAAAGTACTGCTTAATGATTTATAATGCCGCATTGTTGTCGTTAAATAGAGTGAGCGTGACGCTATACAAAGTGTAATATCGTATAGAAAACAATGTAAACCAACCAAAGTCAAGCAATTTCGACGTTTTAAGGAGTTTGTCGTTAAATCGAGTGAGGTTATAAAAAGTTTACACTGTATTTGCAGTCCTACTTTGTTTCCGATGTTTTACACATTGTAATAAGAGAAAGACATGGAATCCATAGTTTCGTTAGCTTTTGGTTCATTTAATAAACGAATTTTTTCGAATCGTTTTCTAAAAATTCAGGATTATGGGCATTTATTAGTTTACCACAATATCTTGTAGTTTTCAGTTTTGCACGGCTGGCGTATATCAATTCGATATTATTTTGCGGGCTGTTAGGTAGTAATTAATAGAATTTCGTTTTCTTGCTAATAGTACGATGAGTGGTGATTTGACAGGTGCTGATATCAATTTGGAAGATCAAAATTCCATGGAGCATGACATTAAACCCGGAAAACAACATCGATCCAATATTTTAGATTATACATTTCCAAGGAGTTAAGAATTTTTTTTTGGGCTCTGTTTAGTTAAAGAATTAGAAGGCATTCGTGGAATGTCTCTTTATCCCTTTTTTACGCTTTTAATGCCTTTAATGGCCAACGTAAGCAACTTTCATTCATCCTATTATATAATGTTTGATCGGTGATACTAGCAAAACTTTTAACGACAAAAATTTATATTCGAGTTATAAATTTTGCCATCAGATGGTGTATGCCCATTTGACGGATCCCAATACCAACAGACTCATTTTTTCTTCTACAGTAACACGAGAAACGCCGCAAAGTACGTTCACTGTAAAAGGATTAGGTTNGCGGCGGAAAACAAAAGGCTAGAAGCGTTCGAAATGTGATGTTACAGTAGAATAATGAGGATACCGTGGATAAAGAAGGTTAGAAATGAAGAGGTACTTATTAGAAAGAATAGGAGAACAGAGGACTCTATAGAAGTTAATAAAAAATAGACGAGATAGGTTAGTAGCACACCTTCTCGAACATGTAGGTCTAGTCAGCATTACTGGCTGGTGGGAATGAAACACCCAAAAGATTTGTTTTTCTTAGGACTAACGACCTTATGATGATGATGATGATGCTTCTACGTGACTCGCACTCGAATCTCGTGTTAGAGAAATGGAGAAATTCGGGTGAGAGTTTAGAAATAATGTTAGATAATAGAACTAGGGGAGGAAATAGTGAGTAGTAAAACATTAGCTTTGAAGTTATAGAAGTTCGACTGTACGTTATGGTCCACTGAGGGATACGTTCATCTGTTATCAGTCATAATTGTAAATATTCGTTACAATCTCTTCATTTTAAGGCTATGTGTAAATACTGGAACTGTTTCTCGGCTGTTGAAATTAGCGGTTCGGTTCCGACTTTTTGGTCATTCAAACCTCGCTTGCACAACTAATGAGGCTTCTTATTAGAGCTGGTATCTTCCGATTAATCTGACGTTGTATGTTTAACGACTTAAGGGTTGATAGGAGAAGGGCAAGGGCGGCAAATTCTGTCAGAGCAGCTATCTCTGGAACTCCCGCCGTTTGGCCCTTAAGCCTCACGCGAAGTTTGCGTATCGAACTAAATGGACCGAGTTAATCAGCGAATATTAATGTTTGCAACTGTTTACGATAACGATTACACCCCGTAGACGTTCAATTGAACGTTTGATAGTGTGTGTGTTGACGGTAACGCTCCGGGATTTGCACACACTTCCAGAATTATTACAATCGTGTTTGTTGTTGTGTTAGTCTGCGTTTGTGTGTATGGAGGTTTTCATATGTGTGTGTGTGTGTGTGTGTCTTTAGGTACATATTGCGGCCGAGGCTTTGATTATGTAAATATATTGTGTGTATGTAGAAGGGGCAGAAACGTCGACAACTTCATGTCAGTCTTGCTTAATGAACCTGAACGTATTACGATTTGTGCTTTTGTTCATTTATTCATTTAACTAATCTACCGTCTGCATGATGCATATCATCCATCACGTCATTATATGTAGGGAAAAAGTAACGCCAATGCAGGGGTGATTCTCTTAGATACAATAGTCGGAATGTTTATATTTAGCTGTTACCGTTTACATTGGCTAGTTGACAACGTTGTTGATAGAATAGTGATGAACAAAGCAAGACGAAAACCAAGACTGTCCTGGTTTTGGTATAGGTCTTGGTTTTGCTCATAAACTTTTGGTCTTGGTCTAGGTCTTGTTGTTAAAGTCTAGGTCTTGTTGATATAGACCCGGTTTTGGTCGTAGTCTTGCGTCTTAAGTTTTGGTCTTGCTGATTTAATCTGATACTAAGGTTTTTTTAGTAATCCTAGGCATAACTTTTTCTTTTTATCGACACGATAATTACCCTTTTTTGAAACAGTGATAAAGTTTATTTTCTTATGTATATTTAGCGTTAATGTCTCGTAAAACAAACTGATACGTTCATTATGCTCTTCTAAAATTGTACATTTACAGTGTACGTATAATATTTTAAAATACTTCGTGTATCCCTTCTATTAGAAAGGTTCGTACACGCTACACATGTTATGATGTGTACGCATCATTCATGCAGTTACGATCTTGTTCGAAATCTCACGATTCGTTGCTTCGGTATTGCACAATAGATGCACAGTACAAGCTACAATGCTGTCGGTTTGTTTCACAATCAGTTAATAAAGAATATACTAATGCGGTTAGGACTTTTACGTGTTTAAGTAAACTGTAGTGTTATTTGCAAACGATATAAACTTTAGTTATTGCTTAAAATAAGTGCAATCGTGCGTTGATCACACTAATATAGTTACAATAGAATGAGGACTACATAACCTATTGAGATATGTCAGGTAAGCGTAGATCGATATTTAAAACACGTGGTTTTTACCTACTGAGCATTGCAAATGTTGCACGCGTTGTAGTTACAAGTTATAACTTGTAGTAAATTTAATATTCTTGAGAGGTAACAATAGGATAATTCTTCATTAAGTTGCCATAATTCATGCATCTATGTAGCGAAATGATAATAATCTTTTAATCGACTTTACAAATCATCAAAAATTTCTTAAAATCATATCAATTATTNGTAGGCTAAGATTGGGTTACTGTTCAAAAATATTTAACGATGTGGGATGTTCTAGTTTTAGGGAAATGCAAAGATTAGTTAAGGATAGGAAAAAACCAGGCTTATAACTGACAACCCTAAAATGATGATGATGAGATAATTATCGTTAAATTAATATTTTTAAATTAAATTAGTTTTTAGGTTAAGTTAAATTTACTCGTTAATTTCTACGTAACACGGTAGGAACTCCACATTATAAGGGATGTGTTCCGAAATATAACTCAGCATACTGGCCGGTGCGTCGATGCTAAATTGACGCTATATTGAGAATAGTGTTTTTGCTCATTTACATCAATTTTGCTCTAAAAGTTATTAGTCTCTTACAATAAAAAATTCTTCAAAGTCTGATGCACTACTACATGACACTTGTCTCACCAGTACAATATGGCGTCGTATATTTCGGCACACACCCAATTTATATAAGTATAAAAAGCTCCTCTTATTTTGAACAAATATGTATAAGGAATTACACACTATTATGTAATTGATGGAAATTGTTACCTTATCGATGTCTGGCCAAGTATCTGGAGATCCGTCGCCTGATTGAAATCCCTAAAATGCAAAATAAACATTATAACAAGTACCATCTCAAACAGTGAAATATCTTGTACAGAGTGTTACGCCTTTAATTTTTTAAACGTACCTACTTGTTTGTACATACACCTGCAGCTAGAGTACTTGCCACAAACAGTAAAAATTAAAGAAGTAAATATAAGAGACTGACCTGAAATCCAGTGTTGCACTGAACTGCTGCCATTGACGGATCAAAATAGAGTTTAAGTTGCTCCAAGGCACCCTTAAAATAAATTAATTTCGAAGTATTTCTTAATTATCATATTTAAATAGGTATCACAACACATCTACTATAAATTACTTTGCACAGGCAAGATTATCTTTGTATCCTCTCTTTTTGGGAATTGAGGATGGCACCTTAGGTAACGAAACACATCTTAGATAACTAAATGTTGTTTAGTGGAATTTCGGGTGTTTTAGTTTTTATTTGGTTAAGTTCCACAGTAATTCTTCGGTTTGATCAGAAATTTATTAAGAATACCGGTGGAGTGCTAATGAGATCTAATAAGATCGAATTCGCGATTTGTGTCTGGTAGTTTCGATACATATTTGACTAAGACAAATGGTGTTGTTAATAAGTTCATTTTAAAACTTGAATGAAACATGTAATGACTTAATTTCATTTGATGTAAAATATGGTGGATGCGCCAGACACAGTTAAGTCAGCTGAATATTAGATTAAATGTTTGACGGTTATCCTGCCAGTTCTATATCCCTGCTTTTCGAGAAATCCTACAGGAGATTAACTTTTTTTGATTCCTTTTTCTATTTGCGTGTTGACCGAACGCTGCGCCATAACCCACTTTTTTTTAGAACGCATTGGGACGTACTTTAACCTGATATATGAAAACATTTATACGTTTTGTGTAACCAATTCTTCCTTTTTTCGTAAACTGTTTTTATAAACTGCCTCGAGAATGATGTACATTCTACACAGAACAAATACACACAAGATAGAAAAAAAAACCTTATCCTCATTTAGGGAGTTTATAAAAATGTATGATATCTGGAAAAATAAATTTTCATCTGTAAGAATCATTTACTAAATTTTTTGTGGGCATATGGGAAAAGAAAATCATAAATTATACTTA